TTAGAGTGACTAAGAGTTCCTTGAGCGAATGAGTTGAGTAACTTCTGGGAACAGCGCGATTCGGCCGCCTCTCTTAAGAAATCCCAAAGCTTGCAACGATTCCTGGAATCGCAACGGCCAATTCAGTTCGGCTTTTGTTGACTTCACGGGGACTTATGGCCCCCGTTGAGCCCCCAACTTTCTGTTGCTGAGACGTTTGACGAGGGAGTCTTGCCCCCATTTTAGGACCTTTCTCGCCGGAGTTCTTAAGGGAGGTTCTTACGTTGGTAAGTCAGTAAACCCGGTTGTTAAGTGAATCTGGCTTCCCCCATTGATTTTGCTTGTCAGAAGGTCGCAAAAGGGGATAATGTGACCACCGGGGGGGACGCTGCGACCGTCGTAAATCTGAGTCAGTTGTCAAGCACCCAAATATAAATCATATGACCATGGGGATGCTGCAACGGTCCTAAGTGTGAAAAATGGTCATATGTCATTTGGACAGCCATATGTCTGAAATGGTACAGGCTTTCCTGTCTAAGCAGGGGGTTGGACTAGATGACCTCCAAGCTGCCTTCCAACTCTGTTATTCTATTCTATTCTATTCTACTCTACTCTACTCTACTCTACTCTACTCTACTCTACTCTACTCTACTCTACTCTACTCTACTCTACTCTACTCTACTCTACTCTATTCTATTCTATTCTATTCTATATTGTTTTCTATTCTATTCTATTCTATTCTATTCTATTCTATTCTATATAATAATAATAGTAAAGTTGGAAGGGACCTTGGAGGTCATCTAGTCCAACCCCCTGCTTAGGCAGGAAACTCTATTCCATTTCGGACAAATGGCTCTCCAGTCTCTTCTTAAAAACTTCCAGTGTTGGAGCATTCACCGCTTCTGGAGGCAGGTGGTTCCACTGGTTAATTGTTAATTGGAAAATAGCTTGACTCCCTCTTCTTTGAGGCAGCCCCTGAGATACTGGAGCACTGCTATCATGTCCCCCGTCGTCCTTCTCTTCATTAAACTAGACATTCCCAATTCCAGCAACCGTTCCTTATATGTTTTAGCCTCCAGTCCCCTGATCATCTTTGTTGCTCTTCTCTGCACTCTTTCTAGAGTCTCCACATATTCTATTCTATTCTATTCTATTCTATTCTATTCTATTCTATTCTATTCTATTCTATTCTATTCTATTCTTATTCTTTCCTATTCTAAATTCTACAGAACTACCTGTATATTGCATTTGGAGGTACTGATCTAGCCCCCCTCTACCACTGTGGTCCTGAGAATTCTGTTTGCACCATGAGCTGAAACAAAAGTTAAAAGGATGTTAGTTCTGCAAATCTTGGGCAAGGGTTTCTGAGTTCCGAAAACCTTTGGGCCTGGGGCATGGGGGAAGATTATATACATCTAGAAGACCCGTGAACCCAAAACAGATTCCTTGCAGGATTTTTTTCTTTTTTCTTTTACCTTGCACTCAAACTCCATATTTTGACTTAAGTGAATTAATTCTTCGGTGCTCTTCATACGCTGGACGTTTGCATTGCAGTCTTTGATGAGCTGTAGAGAGGAAAATGCCATCAGATTAGAAAAGAATAGAAGGGGGAAAAATTAGTTGAAAAATCACCAATTTTTACTATGAAAGAATGGATAGATTTTGACGGTTGGTTGAAAAGAGGTTGCATCTTCCTTTAGCAGGTGGAGGGAAATTATGTATTGTTATTCTCCTTCTCCTGTTTGAGCAGGAGGCTGGACTAGAAGACCTCCAAGGTCCCTTCCAGCTCCTATTCTATTCTATTCTATTCTGTTCTGTTCTATTTTCTATTCTATTTTATTCTATTTTTCCATTATATTCTATATTTCCATTCCATTCTATTCTATTCTATTTTATATTTCTATTCTATTCTATATTTCTATATTCTATATTCTATATTCTATATTCTATATTCTATATTCTATATTCTATATTCTATATTCTATTCCATTCCACTATTCTATTCTATTCTATTCTATTCTATTCTATTCTATTCTATTCTATTCTTCATTCCTAAATTCTATTCTATTCTATTCTATTCTATTCTATTCTATTCTATTCTATTCTATTCTATTCTATTCTTCATTCCTAAATTCTATTCTATTCTATTCTATTCTATTCTATTCTATTCTATTCTATTCTATTCTATTCTATTCTATTCTATTCTATTCTATTCTTAATTCCTAAATTCTATTCTATTCTACTCTACTCTACTCTACTCTACTCTACTCTACTCTATATTTCTATTCTATATTCTATATTCTATATTCTATATTCTATATTTTATATTCTATTCTATTCTATTCTATTCTATTCATTAAATACATGTACATTCAGGGGCAAACTAAATGCTTTCCTTTCCATTCCTACTCCTACGAAGAGGTAGAGTATTATCATGCCTCTGTATTCCAAAAAGGGGGTAAAACTCCTCAACCCCCTGGGCTATTTCAGCTTCTGAGCCGAAGGGAGATTTTTGTGTGAGGAGAGGAGAGAGAACGGACGTCTGAAAACCAGATCCTGAGAGGCTTTTACCTTCTCAAGAGCGTCGTATGCCTGGGTGGCTTGGACCTCTTCGTCGGCCCCGGGTGGAATTCTTTTTAAGATGTTCTGCAGAAGGAAAGCGTTGTTTATTTATTAGTTTATTCATTCATTTTGTGTCCCGCCTTTACCATTTTTACAAATAACTCCAGTTGGCAAACCTGTCCAACACATCTTCCCCCTCCTACTTTCTCCACAACGACAACCCTGTGAGGTGGGTTGGACTGAGAGAGAGAGCTGGACTGGCCCAAGGTCACCCAGCTGGCTTTCATGCTCAAGGCGAGACTAGAACTCACAGTCTCCCATTTTCTAGAGTCTAAACCAAACTGGCTCTCTGTGAAAAGCTAAAAAAGTAGAGTAGAGTAGAGTAGAAAAAAATAGAGTAGAGTAGAGTAGAGTAGAGTAGAGTAGAGTAGAGTAGAGTAGAGTAGAGTAGAGTAGAGTAGAGTAGAGTAGAGTAGAAATAATAGAGTAGAGTAAAATAGAATAGAAAGAATAGAGTATAGAGTAGAGTAGAAAAAATAGAGTAGAGTAGAATAGAATAGAATAGAATAGAATAGAATAGAATAGAATAGAATAGAATAGAATAGAATAGAGTAGAGTAGAGTAAAGTAGAGTAGAGTAGAGTAGAATAGAAAGAATAGAGTAGAGTAGAGTAGAGTAGAGTAGAGTAGAGTAGAATAGAATAGAATAGAATAGAATAGAATAGAATAGAATAGAATAGAATAGAATAGAAAAGAAAATAGAATAGAATAGAATAGAAAATAGAATAGAATAATTTTGGAATGGAATGGAATAGAATATGGAATAGAATATGGAATAGAATAGAATAGAATAGAATAGAATAGAATAGAATAGAATAGAATAGAATAGAATAGAATAGGGGAACTTTGACCAGTCAAGTCTTCCTACCTGGAGAAGGAGCTTCAGTCGTGTGATGCGCTGGAATGGAAGAATGAGGAAGGATTTGAGGGAGAGGCGCTGGCACAGCGGGTCACTTTCCAGTTTCTCCAAGACCTGTTGGAAAGCAGGAACCCCATTCCTAGGCAGGGGAAGAAAAAGGGAGGTGTGACACTTTGTGCGGTAGAAGTCGGAGGCTGGGATCTAAAGGAGGCTCGGCGGGAAAGACGTGAGGTCCAGCTCATCAAAACACAACCCGTTTGTTAAGAACTGCTGGACATTTCTCACTGAAATCAGAACTAATCTATATTATAAAGCGTACAATGAAAAAGTGCATCGCAAAAAAAATCACTTGGAGGTGGGAGATACTTCTAATGTAATCTACCGGATCTCTTGCACGGATTGTCCCTGTGACTACGTAGGACAGATGGGGAGGAAGCTAACCACCAGATTGCAAGAACACAAGTGAGCGGGTCAGACCAGGAGACCCAAACTCATTGGTAGCCTCACACTGCAATGAACAAGGACATACGTTCAATTTCACAACTACTAAGATTGTTGGCCGAGCAGGTACAAAAACAGCCAGGGAAATGATGGAAGCCTGGGAAACGGGCCCCTTGTCAGTCAACAGGAGTGTTGATTAACCACCAGCTTATCAGGGGCTTAGGAGCCGAGGGCTTGGCAGCAGAAAAGAAACAAGAACACAATCACCGGTCCTCAACACACCTATCAACCAATAGCAATGCCAGATAAATACGATGCATAGAATAACCCAAAGCACATATTCCAGTAGAGAGATGTTCCCTTAGGATGGGCTCCAGTACGAATCCAAAAGCTCGGAAGACTAAACCTCTAGTCCCGGTGACCGACTCAGATTGGATCCTGCCTACGATGAAAAGTTAAACTGAAACAAGCTTGTAAAATGATTCCAGGAACAAACCGAGATACAAAGGACCGTTCAACTGAATGTTGGTTTGTCTCTGATTTGCGAGTCTAGTCTGAAAACCTCGTTCAGGCAAGCAACATTTAAGCCAGCTTGGATACCACGCTTGCCTTCAAAGCACGTCGAGACGTGAGAACATTGGACGTTTTCTGTCATGCCTTAACACAGGGGTCTTCAAAGTTGGCCCTTTGATGACCCCTGGACTTCAACTCCCAGAATTCCTCAGCTAGGCACGCTGGCTGAGGAATTTTGGGAGTTGAAGTCCACAAGTCATCAAAGGGCCAACTTTGAAGACCCCTGGACTTCAACTCCCAGAATTCCTCAGCTAGGCACGCTGGCTGAGGAATTCTGGGAGTTGAAGTCCCCAAGTCATAAAAGGGCCAAGTTGGAAGACCCCTGCCTTAACATACGAACATGCATCAATTGCAGTACAAAGCTGTGATTTTGGGAGAAGAAAGATGACTTTGCCTAAAAAGCTTTTGGAGAGCACTAGAAAAAGGGAGAAGCAACTGGAAGGCATCTTCAGGTCCTTACATCAGTCTCTGAAAAGTCTGGTCCTGATAGGTCTGGTTGGTCACATACGGCAAGTAAACCCTGCGAAATTCTGGTGCGTTTCTGAGCGCCACGTCACAGACGTTGAAGGTGAACATGTTCTCCTCAAGCTTCTCTTCCAGTTCAAAGAGGAAGCTGCAGGCAGCGTCAGGTCACATCATGAAAGAGAAGCAGAAGGCCATTATTGCACTTGGGTGGTTGACTTGTCATCCTTCTCTCGGAAGAATGGAAGGGCCATTGTTGACCCCAATGGGGGAGGGGGGGGAAACCACCTTACTTGGGTAGGTTGGTGTGAGGGAAGCGACAGAACAGAACAGAACAGAAAATATGGAATGGAACGGAATGGAACGGAACACAATAGAGTAGAGTAGAGTAGAGCAGAGTAGAGCAGAATAGAATAGAATAGAACAGAATAAGGAATAGAATAGAATAAGGAATACAGTAGAGTAGAGTAGAGTAGAGTAGAGTAGAGAAGAATAGAATAGAATAGAACAGAATAAGGAATAGAATAGAGTAGAGTAGAGTAGAGTAGAGTAGAACAGAATAAGGAATAGAGTAGAGTAGAGTAGAGTAGAGTAGAGTAGAGTAGAGTAGAGTAGAGTAGAGTAGAGTAAAGTAGAGTAGAGTAGAATAGAACAGAATAAGGAATAGAATAGAATAGAATAGAATAGAGTAGAGTAGAGTAGAGTAGAGTAGAGTAGAGTAGAGCAGAGCACAGCAGAGCAGAATAGAAAAGAATAAAATAGAATAGAAATAAAGAATAGAATAGAATAGAATAGAAAATAGAATAGAATAGAATAGAATAGAATAGAATAGAATAGAATAGAATAGAATAGAAAAGAAAAGAAAATAGAAAGAATAGAGTAGAGTAGAGTAGAGTAGAGTAGAATAGAAATATAGAATATAGAAAGAATAGAATAGAATATAGAAAGAATAGAATAGAATTAAAATAAGAATAGAATAGAATAGAATAGAATAGAATAGAATAGAATAGAATAGAACAGAACAGAATAGAATAGAATAGAATAGAATAGAAGCTGGAAGGGACCTTGGAGGTCTTCTAGTCCAGCCCCCTGCTCAAGCAGGAGAAGGAGAAGTCCTTCTAGGTTGGTTCTCTCTTCAATAAGCTTCCACCCACTGCTCCTTCTCCTGCCCTCTGCTCGGTGTATTAGCCGTTGGCTTTTGAGAACGGGAGAAAGAGAACTCACTTGGCGCTAACGTCCCGGACATCCTGAAGACGGGAGAAAAGCCACTGTCTGTCCTGAGTGCTTAAAACCCCCTGAAGCTCCTGGGAGTGCTGGAAGTGGTCCACGGCCACGTTCAGGCTCCGCAGGTAAGAGGCCTCGGATGCAATCAGTTCAAACTTGGCCTGTTTTTAAGAAGAGAGAGAAAAAAGTGCGTCCCCGGGGCCACGATTAGATTTCCTTCCAGACGAAACGCCCAAATTTGACAGAGGAGGAGTCAGCATTTCATTTCTGATCTCATCCTCCAGAAGAGAGATGGGGCACCCCTCTGGTTCAACTCAAATCAGATCAGTCGTTGCAGTAAATCGAATTTTTTTTTTTTAAACTGGCTAGATTGGGGAGTCAGCCCTGCCTTCTACCTGCCCAGATTGAGATTTAAATCCAATTTAATGGCTCTCTTTCTTTCTTAGGCCTGTCCGCTATCACCCCTGTCTTTTGCAGTCCTCTCTGTCTAGGAATCTATTTTCCTTTTAAAACATGGAGAGGAAAGTGGATGAGGATGGAGGCAGGGCGGGGACTGCCGAGCGTATCCGAAAATGTTTTGAGTAAGATTATTTATTTATTATTTATTTATTTATTATTTATATTTCTACCCCGCCCTTCTCCCTGCGGACTCAGGGCGGCTTACAGCCATTTAAAAACAAATACATAAATACAAAAATACTAAAGTTAAAATATTAATTAAGATGAAATATTATTATTATTTTTACTTCTTGCTGGTGTATGTAGATGCATCATTTGTACTTGTTGTTCAATTAAAAATAATAAAAATTTTATGGAAAAAAAAACATGGAGAGATGCTTTTGCATTATTTGGGCCATTCCACTTATTTGGGCCATTCCACTTGTCCTGAGCTTTAAGATTGAAATCCTTTATGCATTTATCTTGGGTGTAATCCCTACCCAAGTTAGCAGGATGCATAAGAGTTGGATTATTTATTAGTGTACCAGAAATATCTTTCCCTTTCTAACTGAGACCACCTATTAGTTCAGAGCGGATTCCAGCCAAGTGTTGGTTCTTTCCAACCAAGAAAAAAAAACATATCACTTATTCAACGTATACTGCGTTCCTCTGGAATGGCTCCCATCTTTTTTTGTCGGCCCATGTTGCTCCCATGGGTCAGAGAGAGGCGGGGGGGGGGGCTGTTTTCCTACCCTCCATCTCTGCATATTAGGACAGAGCTAGGAATTTCAAGGAGCCGTGCTGGTGCAGTGGTTAGAGTGCAGTACTGCAGGTAAACTCTGCCCGCTGTCAGGAGTTCAATCCTGACCGGCTCAAGGTTGACTCAGCCTTCCATCCTTCCGAGTTCAGTAAAATGAGGACCCAGATAATTTTGGGGAGGGCAATACCGCTTAGAGCAGGAGTAGGCAACTTTGGCTCTTTTATGACTCATGGACTTCAACTCCCAGAATTCCTGAGCCAGCCATGCTGAGGGGAAAGGGAGAGGGTTCCAAGCTGAGCCATGCCGGCTCAGGAATTCTGGGAGTTGAAGTCGAGTCATAAAAGAGCTAAGGTTACTTACCCCTGGCTTAGAGAGTGCTGTAAAGTACTGTCACGTGGTATATAAGTCTAAGTGCTATGGCTACCTAAGCCGTGCAGGCTCACTACTTAGAATGCAGCATTGCAGGCAAACTCTGCCCACTGTCAGGAGTTCGATCCCGATGGGGCTCAAGGTTCACTCAGCCATCCATCCTTCCGAGGACCCAGATCATTGGGGGCAAATATGCTGACTATGTAAATCACTTAGAGAGGGCTGTGACCCACTATGAAGCGGTATATAAGTCTAAGTGCCACTGCTATTCATTGCCACGTCCCACCCAGTGCTCGTAGCCCTCTAGATCGGATGAGGGTTCTCGTCCTTTACCTCCTGCAGCTTCTGCTCCTCGCGGGTCATGCTAAGCAACATGGTGCTGCCTCGCACCATGGGGATGTCCTGCCACAATGAAGAGCCCGACGAGACGGACAGGCGTTGTAAGTAGGAGTCCTGAGAGATCGGCACTTTCCTCCGCAGCTTTGGGGATAGCGGTTCTGCTTCTTCGGACAGGGAATCGACCTGTTTTTGGCTCTGGATGGCTTTGTTCAGGGCATCATCGCTGTATTCCTGGTAGAGCAATTTGGCTGTAGGGAAAAAATGGATTCCATAAGAGATCCTAAGTCTATTGCAATTACAGATAGTCCTCAACTTACAACAGGTTGTGGACTTCCGGTCCTGTGCGGTAGCGACTGGTCACGGGCTTGCGGACCACCGCATCCCCGTGGCTAATTTTCGTCCTGCCTGGAAACCCTAATGGGTCCAAGGTGCCCCAGAGAGGCAGTGAAGAAAGAAGGGTGCCCCGGTGACTCTGGAATGACGGCGGTCGTTCCGTTCATCTTGGAAAAAAGCCTTCTAACCTGACAGGAGAAAGGCTGTATTTCCCCGATCAGCCCAAGCTACTTGCAACCGAAGTCCAAAAGAACTAACCAGTACAACAGTAAACATCGTGCTTGAAACTGGGTGAGGAATCTGATTTTCCCTTTTCCATTCCACACTTAATTTCCTGGAAAAGATCCCCAAGAAGCAAAATATCTCCGAGAGTGAAGGAGGGGGACTTC